AATTCCAGAGGCCTGTGCAGAGATAAGGGGATTCCTGCTGACCTCGCACCGTGTTTACCCAATGTGTTTGCTGGCTCTCCTGAAGCCAGGAGAGAAAACAGAAGAAGGGGAACTCGCAGCCCCACTGGTTTCATCCAACCTCAGCGATGTGCCCTTGCTGGGAAAGTGTGTGACAGTGGCACATCACTGCTTTCACTGTAGATGAGGAGGGAGGATTGGTTCCCTGTGGTACCCAGCATCTCCCCAGGGGGGCTGAGGGAGGAGCAGAGCCCCGCTGCTGGGCTGCTGGCAGCCTCATTGCAGCCCATTCACTCCTTGAAGAATGGTTTTTGGTAGTTGCCTTTAATGCACCTTTGTTAAAGCGATGAGGCGGTGTTTGCTTTCCACTGATTTCAGTGTAATTTCACTTCAACCATACTTGGGTGGTAATCCTCAGCTTGCCAAAGCACTGATAAAACTTCTGCTGTGTGTATCAGCACATTTCATGCTTTGGCAATAAAACTAGCCATGCTGACCGCTGCTTTGGCCTCCAGAAAGACAGCTCCCAGGAGGTTCCAGCAGGAACCATTCTGCCCTATTGGAATGGCCAGGAAATACCTTCAGTTGAAGGGGATTTGTTCCTTCCTTGTTTCCTCCGTAATCCACCAGGAGCAGGGAGATGCAGTGGGTGCTTCTGAAAGCAGAGGTGTGTTTTTTCCTCCCTTCCCTGCCATTATTTGCCCAGGGCAGGCGCTTGGAGCTCAATGATCTTTATGATCCCCTCCAAAATGAGCTGTTCTATGAATATTGCCCAGATGAGAGAATGGGAATTTGTCACCGAGTTCGACCTGAAGTGCTTAAAAAGGAGTCCAAAGCAATACTTGGGAGAAGCCCTCTGCCTCTCCTCTGCCTGCAGCAGAGCTACAGTGGGACCACAGTGTGCAGGGTGTGATTTCCTCCTCTTCCTTCACACACACACCCCCCCCCCCCATCCCTGCTCTAAATTAAGCAAAGGATTAATGTGCTAAATTTAAATGCTGAAACCTGCCAATGCGAATGGAGTTTGCCGAGTCCCCCCAACGCAGCCCCAAAAGGCCAAGCAGTGCCTCCTGCGCCGGCCGGGCTGCGGGGGATTCATCAAGCAAACAGCACTAATAGGAAACAGCAGCAAGATGTTGAGCACGCATTACTCCTATATATAGTTTGGCCTTAAAACACAAATTCCTGAGTTCCTGTTTGCTTTCGCGATAGGGGAAGGTGTCTGTCACCATGGTATCTGCATGCGCCTCTCAGCAAAGAATCACTGTCAAAAAGCTCCTCAAAAAGCAGTGATTTTTCTCTGAGGAACGCAGAGCTGTGGGGATGGCAGGATGCTGCCCCTGCCCTGCTGGGGAATACGTGGTAGAGAACTTTGGTGTCAGTAGGGCAATAGGTAAAAAAGGGCTCCAGAATAAAATCTGGGGCCAGTGGTTGTGTCGGGCATAAACTGGCTTCTCCTGGCTGTGAGATGGGGAGCCCAGCTGGTTGGCTGTGCAGGATGGGGTCCCTGCTGGGTGACAGCCAGCATGCAGCCATGATGTGTGGGTGCCCCATCCCTGCAGGCATTCAAGGCCAGGCTGGATGTGGCTCTGGGCAGCCTGGGCTGCTGGTTGGTGACCCTGCACACAGCAGGAGGTTGGAACTGGATGAGCGCTGTGGTCCTTTTCAACCCAGGCCATTCTGTGATTCCATGATTCTGTGACATTCTGCAGCAGTGGCAGAATGCTTGTGCAGGGAAGGGGAAGCTCTTTAGAGGCTTTTTTTTTTATTATTGCTTAAAGGAAATCCATGACATGAGCTGCTATTGTTCAGAGGAAACGTGTGTTGCTGCTGCTTCAAGGGGCAGATTAGCACCATTTCCCTGGCAAAGCCCCAGCTGCATAATAGCAGCAGTCAGCTCAGCCTGAGACTCAGCAGCTTCATCAGAAAGGGCTTCTGGAAGCCCCTGCTCTGTCAGGTAAAGGCACTGTGTTTTCTTGGACCAGTGGTGGGTTCCCAGTAGGCTCCAGGCTGCAGCGAGCAGGCACTGGGAGGCTGAGTCCATGCATTTGGCAGCAAAGGTCTGTGTATTTAGGCCTCCAAAACTGGGAGAAACACAAAGTTTTCCAAAAAAATGCTGATCCAAAAACACGTGGTTGCATTCTGCCCTGCTGTGTATCCCCGTGGGGCTGATTGGTGCCTGGGAATGGAGCTGTGGGTGATGATCCCAATGATGTGGATTGGGTTGGAGAGGGCAGGAGGGGCTGGCTGGGGCTGCTGGGCTTCTCTATCCTCCTCCTTCCCCTACCTAAAAGTTCTGCACTTTATCATAAGGAAGAGAAAGCACCTGAGGTGTCTTTAATAAGGTGTTAGAGTAGTGCCAAAATGGTAGAACAAAGCGAGTTTGATGGCTTGTGAAAATAAGCAAGCTGGCTTTCAGCGTGGCCCTGCACTTGTGCAATGAAAGTTGTGAGAATTCTGCTTCCATGAGAGATTGCTGTTTCAGAACAAACTCAGCTTGCTTTGTTTGCATTAAAACCTCCTTTGCACTGAGTAAAGTAACTGTAAAGCACGCTCTTTCATCTACAAGGACTTGTGCTCTCACTCTCCTCCCTTTAAAATTCATATGAAGCTCAAATTGTTCATCGCTTTGCAGGAGCAACCCATTTGGTGTAGGCTAGTAGAAGGGAAGAAATGACATATGTGTTTTGAATAACAATAAGTGGTTTCTTCGTGCAAAGGGGTCAAGTGGAAATATGGTCCCCGTGTATAATTAGAAATGTAGAGGGCTGACGCTGCAAGGGTAAAACCAACTGCAACTGACTGCAAGGAAAGAAAAATAGAAAGTTTAAAAAAAAGAGAGAAACTTAGACAGATAGCAAACATGGTTTGCTCTGCAGCCTAGTAAGGAACCATTCTGCCCTTCTGAGGCCTGCAGGTGGGCTGAGGACTTCTGGCTTTTCACCTCTGAGCTCTCCTTTGTCAGCACAGCTTTCTGCAGGTGTCACAGAATTCTAAAATGGCCTGGGTTGAAAAGGACCACAATGCTCATCTAGTTCCAACCCCCTGCTATGTGCAGGGTCACCAGAACAGGCTGCCCAGAGCCACATCCAGCCTGGCCTTGAATGCCTGCAGGGATGGGGCATCCACAGCCTCCTTGGGCAGCCTGTTCCATCAGCAGAGGGGTGGCCAGCAAGGACAGGGAGGTGATTGTCCCTGTCTACTCCGCTCTTGTGAGGCCCCATCTGCAGTGCTGCATCCAGGTCTGGAGCCCCCAGTACAAGAAAGACAGAGAGCTGTTGGAGAGGGTCCAGAGGAGCCACAGAGATGAAGAGGGGACTGGAGCACCTCCATTATAAGGACAGGCTGAGGGAGCTGGGCTTGTTCAGCATGGAGAAAAGAAGGCTGTGGGGTGACCTCATTGTAGCCTGCAGTACCTAAAGGGAGCCTGCAGACAGGAGGGGAATCAACTCTTGGAAAGGGTAGATAACAGCAGGACAAGGGGAAATGGTTTTACGTTGAGGGAGGGAAGATTTAGGTTGGATGTCAGAGGGAAGTTCTTTGCTATGAGAGTGGTGAGGTGCTGGAACAGCTGCCCAGAGAGGCTGTGATGCCCCGTCCATCCCTGGAGGTGTTCAAGGCCAGTTGGATTGGGCCCTGGGCAGCCTGGGCTGCTGTGAAATGTGGAGGTTGGTGGCCCTGCGTGTGGCAGAGGGTTGGAGATTCATGATCCTTGAGGTCCCTTCCAACCCTGGCCATTCTGTGATTGGGCAACCTGTTCCAGTGCTTCGCCACCATCTGAGTGTCCTATGGGTCACATCAGCCCTTGGTATTCCCTTCACTCTGGGGAGCTGATGGCAGCTGGCAGCCAGAGGTGGCCCCGGTATGGTGTGTTAACAGTGCTCTGAGCAGCACAGTGTGCTCTCCTCTTCCCCGAGCTGTTGTCATCACTCTCATGGCAGAAATCTTCCAATCGATCCCGCGTGCCACGAGATCCTATAAATAAAGCTGCTGCAGGCTGCTGCTGTCAGGCTGGAACCCAGCAGGCTGCTCCCCGCCTCGCAGCACTCAGATATGCTCAGACAAAGATGTATGTCCCCAAAATATGCCATAGAACCACCAAGGCTGGAAAAGACCTCCAGGATCATCCAGTCCAACCGTCTGCCTGCCGCCAGTATCTTCATGTCCAGCGAAGGCATAATGTCAGGTGTAACCCTGCTGCACAGCTGTGGAACCAGCACCGAATTTTACTGCCTTGGCCAAAGCAGCTGTACCATTGTGCCCATAGGGAGCTGGGGCTGGGAGCCATGGTGGCACCAGGGAGGTTCAGGGTGCAGATTAAGAAAGATTTCTTCTCCCAAAGAGTGGTGCTGCAGTGGCACAGCTGCCCAGGGGCTGCTGGGGTCACCAGCCCTGCGGGTGCTCAGAATTGTGGGGATGTGGCACTGAGGGGATGGGTTGGGGTTGATGATTTTGGAGGTCCTTGCCAGCCTGAATGGTTCTGTGATTCTGTGATCACGTAGGAGGTAACGGCGGAAGTTTGGTCTCTTGTTATCCATCCTGCTGTGTCTGTCGGTCTGTGTGTACCATTCCTGCAAGGCCGGCCGGGTGCTGCTTCCAGATTCCAGCACTGCAGAAAGCATCTCATCAAAATTAATAGCGGAGCGCAATCGCTGGTGCGTCGGGCTCGCCTTTGACCAGCCAGAACGTCCCACACACAATTCGCTTATTAAGGCTCCGTTAAACAGACAAAAAAGAGACGGGAAGCGTGGGCAAAGAGCTCCCCTCCCCGTTACCGACCCGGGGCCGCCCCCTCCGCCCCCCTCCTCCCATCCCCGACCGCCGCCGGAGGCGCTCTGAGCGCCGGAGCCTCCGGGGCGGGCGGTGCGCGGTACCCGCGAGCTCAGAGCGGGATTTAGAGATACAGAGATATAGATATTAATCTTTTTTAACGCGGAACTTTTCTCTCCGTTCCCCCCTTCTCCTCCTCCTCCCCCCGCCAGGATTCCCGGGAGGATGGCATGGATTTAGGCAGCGACGCCGGCAGCAGCCGCTCCAGCTCGGAGTCCAACTCCAGCAAAGTGACTCCGTGCTCCGACTGCAAGTCCTCGCCGTCCCCCAGCAGCTTAGACCTGGCGGCGCTGGACGACGATTCGGAAGAAGAAGAGGAGGACGACGACGAAGACGACGAAGCCGCCTACCTGCCTCCCCGCTGCCCGGGCCCCGCCGATGCCCTCCCCGCCGCTCCCGCCCTCCGCCGCTCCCCGCAGCGCTCCGCCGCTCCCCGCCCGCGGTCGCACCACCGCCCGCCGCCCCCGAAACAGCAGCAGCGGCGGAACGGCGGAGGGGCGCCGGGGCCGGGCGGGCGGCGGGCGCGGCGGGGCGGGGGAACGGCTCAACCCCCCCGGGAACCGCAGCCGCCCGCCATGGACTGGGCGGCCCTGGAGAGGCACCTGGCGGGGCTGCAGTGCCGGGAGAAGGAGCGTGGGCAGAGGGCCAACCCCGCCTCGGTGAGTGGGGAGCGGGGCGGGGGGGAGGGAGCGCAACTTCGCGGAGCATCCCTGGGGTTGTGCGTTGGGTCTGGGGTGATGCCGGGCGGCCTTCCCGCCGGCTGAGCCGGGCGCCGGTGGGGATCCGGCTGAGCCGCAAAGCCTAACGAGCGTGCTTTCATGGGGAAACGCCGCGAATTGTTTCCACGGTCGCGTCATCCGCAGACAAAGTCGGGTAGAATTCGCGCATGACTCGAGCCGCCGGAGTGGCCGAGCGCTCCCTGGGACTTTTCCATCGGGGTTGAATTCGAGGGAACCTCCGGAACGCAGCGCAGGAGCCCCGCGGTGCGCCTCGCCCACAGCCCGCAGCTTCCCCGCCTGGGTCGGGTTTTGTTAAGGCGTTCCAAGCCCTCGCATCCTGTGAAGTCATCTGGCTCGGAGAGGTAGGGGATTTTCCCCGAAATCCTCGAATTACAACTAATTGCTGAAAAATGTGGGTGGGTCCCGGGCACGGTGAATGGCTCATGGATGAGTGTGACAGCAGCGGTGCGGGGCGCTGTGCCCAGGGCCTGAGCTGGGGAGCCTCAGTGCTTGGGGACAGGTAACGTCCCTAATAGCTGCTTTCTGTGCAGAAAGTCAGCTTTAAAAAAAGAAAGAAAGAAAGAAAGCTCGTTTTTGTGGCTTGGAGGCTTTCTGTGCTATCTGATGAACTCCTGCTGCCCTGAGCTGCCGGAAGCAGCAGCACTGCTGGAAACTCATTGCCTGCGGTGATGTGCTTAGCAAGGGGAGGGCTCACCTGAGGAACTCTGCCCAGATGTGTTTCTCTGTCTGCACAGAGACTGCAGGCTCCTGGGTTGGGAGGGATGTGTGGTCTGGTGGTAGAACTGTGAGGTTTCTGGGCGACCAGATCCAGTGTCTGATGTAGTGTTTGGCAGCAGCCCGTGGCAGCGGTTGGAAGTTGATGATCTTTGAAGTGCCTTCCAACCCAAACCATCCCTTACCATGATGTTTTCCTGAAGTTCAGCATCTCGCTGTTTGTGTTTACTCGTCCTGCTGGAAACCCAAATGTTTGGAAACGTGAATATGGTGAAGTGAAAGCAGGCAGGGGGGAGAGGGGTTGGTTTTCTCCAACGGCGAGAGCACACTTGAGAAAAGAGGGATTTCAGCGTGATGAGGCCTTGGTTGGTGCAGTGTGAGATGATTTCGTTAACAGGGGCACAGTGAGCAACAGCTGTTGTTTTGAATGGGAGCATTTCTTCAGCTGGTTTATGTGAACAGGAATCCAGTGTAGACGTTGAGAACAAAATCCTGAGCAATTCGTGTTGGGGCAGTAGGGAATTCTTTGTGCTGTGGGCAGTTGCAGTGAGTTGGTGTCATTGTGCTCCAGGAGCCAGCTGTGACCTGAGTCACCACGCCATACCCAGCACTGCTGTGGGTGCTGGCTGTGCCATAGCTCTGCCCAGCCTGGGCCCGGCTCCTTTCTGAGGCTTTGTGACGTTTCAAAGAATGAATCTTTAAAGGAACACCCATCCACTGCTGGAGAAGCAATCCCATTTCTGCCTCCACTGCTGTTCCCCATCCCAGCCCCGGCCCACAGCTGTACCAGGAGCACAACAGATGTGCTGTGCTGTGATTTACGGCGCCTGGGAGCTGTGCAGGAAGCAGGACTTTGCTGCTCACCATTTCACTAATGGTGCTAATAAAATCAAAATCAGCATCGATGGTTTTAATACTCTTTCCATTGCATCTCCGAGGATGGTGATTACAATCAATAGCATGTATTTTCCAAAGAATAACATCTGTAGATTCCATAGTCAGTTAAACTTGTTGGGCAAGGAAATGGCTTGGCCAACCAGCTTGCCACTTCAGAGCCTGTGGCAGTCAGAAGATGGATGGCACTGCTGAATGGACTGTGCTTTATGGAGGAGGCTCAATGCAGGCAGCAGTGATAGCAGCTTTTCCTGCAGCCTCCAGGTCTGTGGTCCCTTTGGCAGGATACGTGACACGTTGTGCATCAGCACAGCTTGCCCAGGCCTGTGCCTCGCCTCCAGCTTATGGGTCCTGCATTGTGCTGAACATAGTTGTGTTAGGAAGTAAAATGTGTTTCCTTCTGAATCATTTGGCTCTCGAGGCTGTCTTGATTTAGAGGAGATGGGCGCAGGGCTCTGCTCTGCTCCCAGCTGTGGTTCACCGTGGCTGGATGCCCAGAGAGATGGATTCAAAGTACAGTCTGTGGTCCAGGATTAAATCCTGGAATGATTCAGTGGCTGTCCTGGTGGGGTCTGGCCCTGTGTCTGCTGGCTGAGCAGCTCAGTGGGAATGCAGTGCGGAGCTCCTGCCTGCCGGTGTGCTCTGCCTCCAGCATTTAGGGAGCAAATGTTTGCTTGGTGAGGTGGGCAGCGAGGTTGTTCTCACTTTAAGTCATAGATGCTTGACTGAGCCTTCTTAAAGCGTTGGGTTCCTCGTCCCAGCAGGCATTTCCCCAGACAAGAGCTGTCTGAACTTTCACTTCTGACACACTCATTTTCAAAATCAAACTTGTGGCTTGAGGGGAATTGCATTTCTGTCATTCCTGTGATGTAGAAGCCCTGCCAGAGCTCCTCACACACCTGACAGCAGGGTGCCTGGGCTCTCTTATTTATCAGCTGGAGCACCTCTCCTAGGAGGAAAAGCTGAGGGAGCTGGGCTTGTTCAGCCTGGAGAAGAGAAGGCTGCAGGGGAGCCTCACTGCAGGCCCCCAGTACCTAAAGGGAGATGATCAACAGGAGGCAGAGAGACTTTTTACATGGTCTGATAGTGAGAGGACAAGAGAGAATGGCTTTAAACTAAAAGATGAGAGATTTGGGTTGAAGGTTAGGAAGATGAGGCCCTGGCACTGCTGCCCAGAGCTGTGGTTGCCCCATCACTAGAGGTGCTCAGGGCTGGGCTGGATGGGGCAGCCTGATGTAGCCGGGGGTAGCCAGCCTGTGACAGAGGGTGAGATTGGGGGGGGCTTTAAGGACCTTCCAACCCAACCATCCCATGGTTCTATGATCTTTGAAGTCCCTTCCAACCCAACCATCCCATAGTTCTATGATCTTTAAGATCCCTTCCAACCCAACCATCCCATGGTTCTATGATCTTTGAAGTCCCTTCCAACCCAACCATCCCATGGTTCTATGATCTTTAAGATCCCTTCCAACCCAACCATCCCATGGTTCTATGATCTTTAAGATCCCTTCCAACCCAACCATCCCATGATTCTATGATCTTTAAGATCCCTTCCAACCCAACCATCCCATGGTTCTGTTGTCTTTAAGGTTCTTTCCAACCCAGCCATCTTATGATTCTGTGATTAAATTCCTTCTTCGGCACCCAAAGAAGGGAATGGGAGGCGTACTCCAGAGGCAGCTTGTTTGTGTTGATGAGGAGCACAAACCCTTCAGCCATAGGAAATCCTGTCACTGGGTTGAACAGGGGCTGACCTTCCACACGTGGTGCCTCGGACACGCCTGGTGACAAAACACAACAAGGTGACTGCGTCGTACTTCGGCCACTTTCCACCCAGCTCAAAGGTCAGATGAGGCTGGCAGGGTGTTAATGGTTCTGCCAAAGTGTGCCCTGTCAGTCAGCTCAGAAGACAGCTGTAGGTGCACTGACAGGCTTGGTTCTGGAAGCACATTTGTAATTACACAAACGGGGGAGATGTGTGTTTGCTGGGGCTGAAACTGGTCCAAGCAAAATGATCGTAATTAACAATCTTAAGTAAAAACTCTACAAGCTGCCTCTGTCGGTGCTGCAAAGGCTGTCATTAAAGAAAATGCTAAATATGTGGGGTGACAGTGTGCAGATGCCTTTTTGATGAATGATTCTCCTTTATCTGAGAGTTGATGTGATGGGAAGAGCTCTGTTATGGATGCCAGCAAGCTGCCCGGCCGCCTGGTAAGTGGCTGTTCCTTATGGTGTGCAGAAATCCCCAATTCAGACTGAGAAAGTGGGGCTGTGGGAGTGCTGGTTGCAGTGCAGGCAGCAGCAAACTTCCAGGTTGGATATTAGGAAACGTTTGTTCTCCAAAAGAGCTGTGATGCAGTGGCACAGCTGCCCTGGGGGTGGTGGGGTCACCATCCCTGGTGGTGTTCAGAGCTGTGGGGTTGTGGCACTGAGGGATGTGGGCAGTGGGTGTATGTGGGGGATGGGGAAGGGGGGCTGGGGTTGAGCTTGGTGATCCTGGAGGTCTTTTCCAACCTTATTGATTGGATGATTCTGTGATATCTTTAAAAAGTGCCATTTGTGGTGCTGCTCGTTCAAAGCTCCGTAAGTTTTAAGAGTATTTGGGGTATTGGGTGTAATGGGCAGCAAAGAACTGAAGATTTCTGAAGAGAGAGGAGAGCTTTTGGAGAGGTCATGCAATGATTGGTGTGAATTAGTTTTGCAGTGTAACCCCACAGCCCCGTGCCCTGCTGCTCCCTTCACACAGCGCTGGTGGCTGGGGCTGAAGGAGCAGCAGGAACACTTGGTTAGGTACTAATTATGCACTTAGGCATCATTTTCTTGCATATTGTGTGTGCTGAGCAGGAGAGTTAGAGTTTTCCAGTTCTCAGAATTGGCCTGTGCTGAGCAAAACGTGTTAATTTGACTGCTGAAGAACCATAGCTACTGCAGCAACACTCAGGGATGGTGTATGTGTAATAGCAGTGTGTGTGAAGAGAGAAATTATAGGCAGAGTGTATTAAAAAGCACAGGAAGAGTCAAGTGTTTATTCAGTACTCACCAAATGCATTCAGGATCTGCAGAGGAGCATCTGGGTGAGCTGTGGGCTGGCTGCCATTGCTGATGGCAGAGAATGGGAATGAGTGCTGAGCCCCAGCCTCTCATGGGCACAGAGCAGAGGGAGTAAAATATATTAAGCAGAGAATGCAGGGCCGAAGCCTGAGCCATGGAGATGCCTCTGCCCTTTTTGTGATCCAGCATCCATCCTGCAGGAGCCCCAGAGTAGCACAGTGGCTGCATGGGGACCTTGCATCCTGTGAAGGATGCTTGAG